GGCTATCTCTGCCCAGGTGGCTGGCACACTATTCTCTGGTTGGCAGGCCTGGAGGCTCAGTTCTGCAGCCTGCTCCGCATTTCCTCCTTCACCCAAGGGTGGTGCTGCTGCCTGGCGTGGGGCAGGGAGGGCATGCAAGCAGCTAGCACCTTTCTTAATGGGAACCGAGGCAGCCTCAGTCTGCACTAGTGTGAGCCTTGTCTTCCTCCTAGCACCTGTGGGATGTGGGATGCAGCTCCTGTACCCTGTGTGCTCAGAGCTGGTAGGGCTTGGGGCCCTGTGAGCTATGAGGCTCTTGGGGAGCCTGCTCCACCAGTTTGGCAGAACCCCTGTGAAGACAGCCCTGCCTGGCGCTTGTGTTGCAGGGACTGTTTCAAGGCCTTCTACATCCACAAGTTCAGAGCCATGCTGGGGAAGAACCGTCTTATCTTTCCTGGAGAGAAGGTAGCTGTATGTGTGTTTGGGAGGCCCGGCTTTCCCTTCTGCCCTTCACACAGCCCTGCCACCCCTGTGCATACTCTGCTGGTGGGCTGTCCATGTCGTGGGAGGAGCATGCTTGCATCGAAGGTGAGTGATACATTCTGGTGTTTCTTCTCCCCCAGGTGCTCTTGGCATGGTCTGGTGGGCCCTCATCCAGCTCCATGGTCTGGCAGGTCGTTGAGGTGCGTCCACACACACCTTTCCCTCTCCCCGCCACCCAGGCTGCTGGGCAAAGCTGGGGTGGGGCCTCCCTTCCCATGCACCCCAACTGGGACACCTAGAGGGCTCTCAGTGTGTACACAGGTCTCCAAGCCAGCAGCCTCATCTGGGTGCCAGCTGTGCCCACGTTAATTTTGTCCGCTTGCCCACCCTGCAGGGATCAGCCTCATGGCTCGGTCTCATGGCTCGGTGTGACTTGTGGGGGCAGACAGGGAGGGTAGCTCATTCACGGGGGATGGGGGGGGAGTTGAGGCAGGTGCTCACGCTGCAAACCCAGGAGGTGCTGGGACATGTGGTGTTTCCCGGTGGGAACTGGGAAGCTCCAGGGGTTTCAGCATGGGTTTTGGAGGGGGATCTCCCTGCACACTTAGTGTGAAGCTTTGAGGTGCAGGCTGGGGGCGGAGTGGGCTGTGGCCATTTTGAGTGTCAGTGGCTCAGGGTCAACCTGGGCAAGGGGTGGGGCTGACCTAGGGCTGGCACATTGCAGGTGAAGCATCCTCCTTCTGTGCCAGCCTTCCACATGAGGTCTGCCTGGCCTGAGTATGAATGGCTTTGTCCACCTAAGCGGAGAGTTGTGTCCCTGGCTGGTTTTTCTCCCAACCGGTGGTGCCCTAAACCTGCCCATGTGGGACCAAGACCAGGCCCACCTCAGGTCGTATCAGCTCCTCAGCCCAGCCCAGCCCAGCTCTGCTCTTCTGAGTGTGCTTCTGAGTAGTGCCCAGCAGGTGGCACTGTGGCCCCTCTGCCTGTCCCAGGTTGCTGAGGTGTCAGGGACCCACTCAAGGGCAGGTTTTGAGGTTCTGCAGAGGGGCTAGAGGGAGCAGGGGGCTGCTTTCATGGCAGGAGAGGAGACCGACAACTACCCTTCAGCAGGTGGGGCTGCCTGGCCTCCCCACAGAGCTGCCTGGCCCGAGTCTGCTTTAAGGGGAGAGCGACTCCCTCCTTCCAGGGACTGAGGTCCAGAGACATGGTCTGCTGAAAGGCACCCTGTGGCTTACAGCCAGGCTCCAAGTCCTCTACGTGTCCCCCTCCAGGGCCTGAGTCAACACTCTGCTAAGAGGCTGCGCTTTGTGCCAGGGGTCGTCTATGTGGACGGTATGTGTGGCTGCCCTTTTTCCAGGCCCACTTGGGGTGGGCCCATTGCGCCTCCTGGGTAAAGGTGGGTCCAGGACTGGTGTGGTCCTCATGCTGAGTCCCTGGTGGTGGTGTTTCCGAGGGAGCTGGTGCAAGTTCCAGCTTTAGATGACTGCAGGGGCTGGGAATATCTGTCCTACCTGGCCCCACCATGAGGTCCAGGGCCTGAGGAGGGCTAGTGACTGCGGCTGGGATATTTGTAGCCACTAGGGCAGCTACCTATGGCATGTGTGGAGCAGCGGATGCACACAGCCCTATCGGCACGAGCCAAGTCACCCCAGCAGCTGAGCATTGGATAACAGTTGTTCTTTCTAAACTAGAACCTCAGTATTTAGGTTTAATTGCAGTGTTGGCATTGATGATAAGTAAGTGGGTTTTGGGTTGCAGTTGGGTACTCAGTCTCTAAAAGGTTTGCCATCATTGCATGAGGGGGAGCCTGTTGCCTAAATCAAAACAGCACCCAATTGTCTGCATTGGCCTTTTGTGCATTTTGTAGTACTGGGGATTGAACCCAGGACCTTTTACTGAGCTACATCCCTGCCCCTTTTTTTTTCATTTTGAGGCAGGGCCTCACTCAGTTGCTAAGTTGTCTGGGCTAGGCTGGAACTTGTGGTCCTCCTGCCTCAGCCTCCTGGAGTGCTGGGGTTATAGATGTGCACCACCTTGCCAAGCTCTCATCCTCCGGTAACCATGCCCTGCAGAGCCCCTCAGCCACCACACTGAGACTGAGCCCTGACCCTCCTTCCTGCCTGGCTTTGCAGAGGGTGCAGCCTGTGGCCAGAGCCTAGAAGACAGAGCAAAAACCCTGGCTGAGGTGAAGCAGGTTCTGCACACTGTCGGCTTCCCGTGGCATGTGGTGTCCCTGGAAGAGGTGGGTGGCGTGCCCCTGTTGGGCGGTGTGGGGACCCGGGGTCTGGCCTGGGCCCCTGGCAAAGGGCCTGGCGGGCAGTGTGGGGACCCAGGTCTGGCCTGGGCCCCTGGTGAAAGGCCTGGCGGGCAGTGTGGGGACCCAGGTCTGCTTGGCCTCACTACCTGCGTCCCCAAAGGTGCTCGGCCTGCCGCCGTCGGTCCTGCGGTACTGTCCCCGGGAGCCAGCCGGGACCGAGGGCACCTACAAGGCGGCCGTGGACAACTTCCTCCAGCAGCAGCATGCGCTGGAGACCCAGGGTGCCGAGGACAGCTGTGGCCCAGCTTGGGGGCAGGAGGAGCAGTGCTGGCCTCAGAGCCAGGACCCTCATGAGCCCCTGAGTCCAGCTGGGTTCCCCCCTGCTGCCCAGACCGAGGCCCTGTGCAGACTGTTCGAGTCCGTACGGACGCTGACGGCCAAGGAGGAGCTCCTGCAGACGCTGCGGTGAGCCCAGCCCCGTATCTGGCCCCTCCTGGCCCCTCCCGGCCCATGGGGCTTCTGCAATGTGGCCTCTGCACCCCAGGAGCCACCTGATCCTGCACGTGGCCCGAGCCCACGGCTACTCCAAGGTGATGACTGGGGACAGTTGCACTCGCCTGGCCATCAAGCTCATGACCAACCTGGCCCTAGGCCGAGGGGCCTTCCTTGCCTGGGACACGGTACACAGGGCTCCTCCCCACCTGTCTGCTTTGCCTGGAGGCAGTAGCTGTGGGTCTCCCACGCGGAGAGGCCCTGGGACTAACCCCAGCTTGGCGGGTGGTGCAGCCAGGACCTTGGCCAACAGCCCCATCTCCCAGGGCTTCTCAGACGAGCGGCACGGGGATGTGGTGGTGGTGCGGCCCATGAGGGACCACACACTGAAGGAAGTGGCCTTCTACAACCGCCTGTTCGCTGTCCCCTCAGTCTTCACACCGGCTGTGGACACTAAGGTAGGTCCTTGGGGTGAGCTGCATGGGCGAAGTGGGTGATCTCCCTTCTGCATGAGCCAGAGGTCCCAGCACAGTGGGACAAAGCTGTCCACATCAGCCAGGCACGCATGGTGGCCCTTCTCCAAGCTGACCTGATGTCCCAGCACCTCCTGCTTTGCCTTTGGTGCTAGCAGCAGGGTCCCATTGGGTCCTCTGAGGGTACCCTGTGCCTTGAAGGGCCAGGCTGGCCCCTGCTGATACACTGGCTACTATGGGAAGCCAGGTGCCCACTCTAGGGCTGACCCTCTGCCCTGGTCTCCAGGCCCCTGAGAAAGCCAGCATCCACCGGCTGATGGAGGCCTTCGTCCTCAGGCTGCAGGTGCAGTTTCCCTCCACAGTCAGCACTGTGTACAGGTGTGTGCGGGCTTTGTGCGCATGGGGACTGGGAAGGAGCAGAGCCCGGCTGGGGGTAGCCCACGATCTGTGCCTCCTGCCCCCAGGACAAGCGAGAAGCTGGTCAAAGCGCCCAGGGAGGGCTGTGCAGGTGGGCCCGAGGGCCCCCGCTGCCTCCTCTGCCTGTGCACCCTGGACATCGACACTGCTGGTTCGCACTGGACCTCCTCAGGGTGCTGGGGTGGGTGTTGGGGTTCAGCAGTCCTACAGTCCCCCACAGTCCCCCCTCAGTCCCTCTCTGCTTGCAGACAGTGCCACAGCTTTTGGGGCTCAGACCTCGACTTTCTCCCAGATGCCGCCGTCCGCCCTACAGGCTGAGTCTGGGATGCCTGCCGCCCCCTGCCACACTGTAGGCCCGGGCTGCTGCTGGAAGGCCTGTGGGAGGTGAGTTCCTGCTGAGGATAGGACCAACTTGGGCAGAGCCCCACAGGCCAGGCACACAAGTCTAGCTGTTTTTCCCCAGGGAGGACGACAGGCAGACCCAGGTCATCCAGCAGCTGTGCTACAGCTGCCGGGCGAACATGAAGGACCTGGTGAGTGGGTGGCTGCCCCTCCCCTCCTGGCCACAGTGGTGTGCTATGCTTGCGCCCCCCTTACACTGGCTTCTGTTGCAGCCCTCCATGGACCCTTTACCCCCCTACATCCTGGCCGAGGCCCAGCTCCGCAGCCAGAGGTACCAGGCCTGTTCGATGGGGTCCCCAGTTGGGAATCCCCAGGGCTGGTTCCCACACATGCTCCCCACAGGGCTTGGGTCATGCAGGAAATCCAGGAGTATCTGATCGAGGACAGTGGCGACGAGGCAGAGACCACTCAGAGCTGAGCCCCGACACACTTGTGGCCGGCATGGGCAGCTCTCCACTCGGGGCGGAAGGCAAGGCTGTGGGGCTGGCTCGGGCTTGTCCATTTGTATAAATAAAAAGGTTTTAATTAGAAAATTCTACAGTACGTGGAGGAAGGGTGGGTGGGCCAGGGCTCCAGGCCCAGTATGGCTGTACTGGGTGTGTGAGGGCCACGGGGAGCACAGTGTCCTTCTGACAGCAGCATCAGGTTTCAGGTGAGCCAGGGAGGACACGTGGCAGCTGCAGCCCTGGCCCGAGGAGTGCCACCTACACTGGTGGCCATGCTGCCCATAGGCAGCTCCTTCATTCCCGGGGCCGAGGAGCCAGGCTCCTATTCCTTCTCACGTGTCCACTTGATCATGGTCTCCGGGGAGCGGTACAAGAAGATGAGCTTGGCGTACAGCTCCTCCTCCAGCTCTAGCTCCCGCGTCTCCCGCACCAGGAAGATGTCCTGGCACAGCTTGAGGATACGGTCCACACAGGGCAGCTCCTCAAACATGATGGAGTGTGAGATCTCACTGAAGAAGCCACGCACGAACTTGCCGATGACCAAAACGATGGACACGTACAGCCCCATGATGCTGTGAAGCGATGGGCAGTGAGGCTGGTGTGGCTGGGGCCCGCCTGGACCTCAGGGTGTCCCCTGGCCCTACCACTCACCCGTAGCCAGCCAGGAAGCCCAGGCTGGGCGGGCTGACCTTGTCGCTGAAGATGACCATGGGCAGCAGGTTGCAGCTGGCCTGGCAGTCCTGCAGCTCAATGACCCACCACTCCAGGAAGCCAGCAGCCCCCGAGCCTACCTGCTCCCTCCGAAGCTGGATGCGCACACCAAGGTAGTCAGCCTCCTCATCTGGGATGGAGCAGCGGAGTCAGCCCCAGACCACTACCCCTCCCCGAGCTGTGTCCCTGCCTCCAGCCCCCACACTCACTGGGCTGCAGCTGCTTCACGGGGCTGGCCTCAGGCCCGTTGGGGGCGCGGATGTACTTGGGGAAGAGGTGGGGGATAATGCTGTGCGGAGGGGAGGGTAGGCAGGTCAGGTCCGGTTGATGCCTCCCTACCCCCCGCCCTCCCCTACTCACACAGACTGGTCCGAGGTGCCCTCCAGCAGGTGGGCCAGCTGCCGCCGCTCTGTGCTGTTGGGGGCCAGCTCCAGTGTGTGTTTCTCATTGGTGTACTCCACGGTGCTGCCCTTGGCCAGGTCCCTGCAGGTGGGCAGGTAGGTAGAATGTGACCCACTGTGGGAGCTGTGCCCTGGGCCCCTGCGCACAGGACCCACCTCTGGAAGTTCCAGGTGAAGCGCAAGGTGATGTCTGCTGTGCCATTGTATAGTTCCCGCTTCATCTGCGCTCGGCTCGGGGGGCTGATGCGCCACAGCGCCCCAGAGCTGCCCTCGATCTGCGCTGTGACAATGTCCTCTGGACTGTACTGGCTGATGAACTGCATGGCCAGCTGTGGCAGGGCAGGGGTGCCTCAGCGGGGAGCTGGCCACCCGTCCCGGCCGTCCCCTACCCCCTACCAGGGGCTGGCAGGGTCCACTCACCGGATAGGGGTCGAACTGCTGGGACAGCGCCTCGTAGGCCTCGGGCGTGAAGGGCACAATGGATGGCTGCTGGGCGCTCATGGTGAACAGGGGCTGGGGCCGGGACGCCGTGAGTGGGCGCCGGGAGCCCAGGCTCCACCTATGTCCCACACCCCACACCCCGCCACCCGTTTCCCCGCTGGGAACGATGGGCAGGGCCACTCACCTCATAGCCACCCAGCTTGAGAGTGACAGTGACATCAATGGGCTGGTTGACAACACCAACCACGGAGCGGACCAGGGACATGAAGAGCAGTGGGAACCAGATGATGGCGATGAGGAAGAGAATGATGAGGCCGCCCATGCCGTACTTGACAATCTTCTTCTTCTTCTGCCCCTTGGGCTGTGGGTATTTCTGGGGGAGAAGACCCAGGTCACCATCCCAGGCCTCAGAGGCACTACCTCTGCACCGTGACCTGATGCCAGCTCACAGCTGTGCAGTGGCCGCCTCCTCACACTGCTGGTGGCAGGACAAACGCAGGTCGGTGAACCCAAGAGATGACCCCTCTCATTTAGGGCCAGCTGGCTCTCGACAGGACGCTGGTAGCCAGTGGAACAGCCGTCAGCAGCTGGTGCTAGGCTGTGTGCACACACAAGAGAACTGGGCTGCAGGCCCGAAGTACAACAGTCAGAAGAAAAGCATGAGCTGCATATTTGCAGGAATAACTTCTGCATGAGAAGACGCCGAGAAAGAGGCAGCCGTGGCATGCAGAGACTGCAGGAATCAGGACACTCAGAGGACTTGGCCTGCAGCAGAGTGCCAAGGGTCCAAGCGAACAATTCTCCAGGAGCCGTGCGCTGTGTCGGCGAAGATGCTTACTACAGCGGCAGCCACCAGGGCAAATCCCCCAGCTGTGCAAGGTGCGCCCAACCCTGGCAGGCAGAGCCACTGGTAAGATTTATGAGGGTAGAGCTATGTGTGCTCAGCTATGACGAGGATGACAAGGAGGATGACAAGGGCAAGGCCAGCCTCGGTCGTATAGCAAGACCCTGCCTCAGGAGTGGGGCTGGGGATGTAGCTGAGTTCCCTGGGTTCGGGTCAGTACAGCCAGCAGATACAGTGGAGTGCCTGCCAGGCAACAGGCAGGTCCTCGGAGCCTCAGCAGCTGTTCACCTCCCGGGGACACCCTTGCAAGGGAAGATGCATCCAGACATCTCGGGGCTGCTGTGGCCAGCAGAACACAGAAGCAGCCCAACGGGAGAGGAGCTTCCGCACAGCGGGTGGCATTCAGCCAGACAGGAGTGACACCTAGAGCTGCAGCATGGGAGCAGCTGGCCACACAAACACAAGCAGCGTGCAACTCTGCTGTCTCATGGCACATCTGTGACAGGCAAACCAGAGACCAGAGATGGCCACAGGCTGGGGAGGGCAGAGGGAAATGTCTCCAGACTGACTGTAATCACTAAAAGCCGCTGAAGTGTGCACTTGTATGAGTGAGTCACATTAAAGAAAAACAGCTGACAGCATCCGGTCTCTACTGGCTCCTCCTGCTCCCCAGAGGGCCATGTCCACGTCCCCTTCTGTGGCCTGTCCAGAGGTGGAACGCGCGCGCACGTGTACACACATACACACACACACCCACCAGCCCCCACCCCCGCCAGGCACCTTCTCGGTCTCACGGCTGCACTTGATGATGAAGATGTTGGCGTAGATGTCCTCCACACACATCCAGCTGGACAGGGACAGGGTGGTGTCTGTCCACACCCAGTCCATGACGGCCCGCAGCTCCACCAGGAAGGGCACCAGCCGGAACCTGCAAAGCCAGGATTGTCAGGGGCTCTGACTCCACTGCAACGGACTAGACAGACCTTGGGCAGACCATGCTCACCCCTGGAACAGGAAGAGGTTCAGGTGGTTGTACTTCTTGGTGAGGAAGTTGCCAAGGATGCGTGTTGGGTAGCCGCAGCGGATCTGGTAGGCGGACAGGCCGAAGTAGATGCACTTCACGAAGTACCACAGCTGGGCCACCGCATTCTGGCTGAACATCCTGGGCCAGGATGCAATGGTAAATAACAGTCCTAGCCCACATCCCGGATCTGCCACACACACAAGGGCTGGTGTGCATGGTGGAGACCAAGCCCCTGAGGCTACAGTGCCCACCTTTCGGTGACAGCTGGCAAAATGAAGAACATCCAGAGGTGGATGGCCACCACCAGCACCACCTGGAAGACCAGCTTGCCCAGCACTGTCTTGCGCAGGTAGAGGGCACGGTCAACCACCATGGTGCTGAACTGGATCAGCAGCATGACCAGGAAGGCCTCCGGAACCTGGTCGTCTGACAGGGAGGATGTGATGTCCGTGGCTGCCGAGTGCTTCTATAGCCGGAGAGCACAGGTCAGGGGGACGGGGCCGGGCCCAGTGGCCACTGAGCTATACACACTATGACCCCAACTCGGCTCACCCCAAAGGCCCAGAAGCCAAAGATGATGATGATGAAGTCGACCACGTCAGCCAGGAACATGAGCGCGTAGACGTCGGTGGCTGCACGGTACTTGGTGTGTAGGATATCATGGAAGAAGCACCTCAGGGGCTGGTAAATGCTCTGGGCCCTGCGGACAGGCAGGCGGGCAGAGTCAGTGGGTGTCTGGCCTTGGGCCTCCCTCCCTACCCTCAGCCACGGCCACCCCCAGGCCCTGTCTTACAGTGACAGGCAGAAGGCCTGCAGCTGGCGCCCTGCTGCCTTCATCCGTTCTTGGCAACGACTCGTCCTCTTCCTCCCAGCTGCCTCTCTCTCCTCCCCATCCCCAGCTCCTGTGTGGGAGAAACTGCCGACTGAGCCCACCTGGGTCTGGCTGCTCACCAACTTGGGGGC